GAGAGAGAGAGAGAGAGAGAGAGAGAGGAGGGGGCGACTTTTTGGAGAGACCGGCCATGTGATCGTCAATTTTATCTTGTCAGGAATGTCATTTGCAGGGAAGATTGAAGTCTTTCATGTCGAAGGAAAAGTTTCTAACACGTCAGATCAGACATTTAGTGCACAATAATTTCGAGGGATGTCAAGAGAAAACAGCTGATGGATTGTTCTGAATCCTGATCGTGGCAGGGGGGACGATGGAACTTTAATATTATAAAGGGAAAATAGCATATTCGAAATCCTCCAGACCTAAGAGTTTAGGCAACTGGCCCAGGTTAACTAAGGCCTGCAACAGAGCACACAGCAAGCATTACATCAAAACAAACAAATTGTTTGGGCTTGGGATGGAAGTGGGCTAAAAGATTATTTACAAAACAACTAAATCACGTGGAGAGGTGGCTTAACTATTCATTAGTTGGTTTAATTATTTGCAAGCCTTACATTTATTTTTTTATATAATTTTATCATTTAATATAGGAATTTAATTAAATTTTATTTTTTAATATTGTATTTCTGGTAAATTAATTTTTGTATTTTTAATAATAAAAAAAAATTAATTTTATCTAGTGAATTATATAATACAAGTTCTGAATTTGACAAGTTAACTAGGATTAACCTGACTTTTTTTTTCTTGAGATCTATTTTATCAACAAGGTTACGCTGGAAGAATTCCCACACAATTTAATTTAAAATTTAAACAAAAAAAAAAAGATTGAGAGTTTTTAAATTTGATTTGTTATACCAAGTTTAATAATGATGTCAAAAAAATTTTATGGTCTGGATATTGTTTTCTTATGTTTCAAAAAAATTTGGTCTAACTTGTAGAAATAAACTAGCCTTCTCCATTAAAAAAATATCTTATTCTTTATAGAGCTTCATTGTTTATATAAGTATTGAAGCTATTTTTTTTCTTCTTTTTTTCCAATTCAATCTTTTTTTATTTTTTATGTTTTTTATTTCAATTTTGTTCTTTTTGTTTTAATTTTATTCATAGAATTTTTTTAATAGTAAACTAAGTTGCCTTTAAACTAACCAGGTTAACTAAATCTTGTTGAAATAACTTTCACATGATTTAATAAGTTAGGTAAAGACTCGAGTTAAAAGAATTTTTTTTTATTAATTTTTTTTGTTTGGAACTAATAATTGGATTATATCAAAATAATTTTTATATAGTTTAATTTTAAATTTAATTTAGATAAAGAGTTGAACGATGAGGTTTTAAGATAAATCTACTAGGTTGAAGATTGATAAAATTACCTTTTTTTTTTTATTTTAACTGATTTAATTGATCTTTACAGGTTTAATAATTTTGACTAACATGGAAGCCCCGCTCCCTTTTCACGTGGTATGATTTTTATTTATGTTTTTTTTTTAATACCCTAGGTTATTAGGTATGGTGCTTCGTTTGGCAGTATGAATATCATTGTACTTTTTTCTCTCTCTCTTTTCAGCTAACACCAATTTACACTGTTAATTAATATAACTGGGATTGAAATTTTGCAGAGTGATTCTGCTAATTACTGGGTTGTGTGTGTGCACTCCAATCATTTAAGAAGGGTCAAGATTCGTCTTCTCGTTTTCTTAATTTCATAGAAATAGATGTTCCTGGTTTTACACTTCAAGGTGTGCTCTAATTTATATTTATTCTTACTCCAAATCTACTCTCTACATAGCAAAATAGTGATAAATTAAATACCCACCCTGCAATTGCAAAAAAATATATATAAAAAAAAAGGAGCTAGGATCGACAAATTGAGACCACCAAATCAGCGGCAATGTTGCTGAATCGAACCAAGCCCAATTGCACAGATAGGTTGATGTTAGTTTCATTATAAAAAAAGGGCGATTTTTTGGGGGGCAAGGCAAGGCAAACAGGCCTCACCATCTTTATGGGCCAGGCACTGAGAAGACATATCCCACTTGATCCAACATGTCTGCCGACAGCGTGTACGCATCTTAACGAGCCCAGCCCATTTCATGAAACCCCCTTGTCTATTTAATTTGTCCTGGCCTTTGTTCAACGGCCTGCAAAATTAGTTGTAGATCACTTTGCGCCTCTTCCTCTCTAAGCCTAGCAATGGCTGATGCCAAAAACGTCTCAAATGAAACCAAACAAACTCTGGTCTTCGTATACGGCACCCTGAAAAAAGATTTCCCAAACCACTACCTCTTTCAACAACTGATTTCCCAGAAAGAAGCCACATACGTAGGCACCTGCAGAACCCACCAACCACACCCTCTCGTTATTGGCCCCTATGGGATTCCATTCATGCTGTGCCTCCCTGGTACCGAAGGTCACCAAATCAATGGCGAGCTATACTCCGTGACAACACAAGGACTCGTTTCATTAGATGAGTTGGAGGGCACGGGTGTTGGCCACTATGAGAGGCGTCCGGTTCAGGTAATCATGCGGGAAAAGAGTGATGCGGAGGAGGGTGAAAAGGGCAGAGTCGTTTTGGTGGATGCTGAGGCATATTTTGCTCATAGGAGTTTTGGGGAGAGGATGTGGGTTAGGTGTGGGAGAGCAGGGTTAGATGAGTATAGTTTGGAAAGAGCTGCCTGTGATTATGTGAAGAAAGTGAATAGGCCTGAAGGGGGATCGTGGCAAGAGGGACGTTGGAACTTTAATATTATGAAGGGAAAATAGCATATTCAAAATCCTCCAGGCCTAAGAGTTTAGGCAACTGGCCCGGGTTAACTAAGGCCTGCAACAGAGCACACAGCAAGCATTACATCAAAACGAACAAATTGTTTGGGTTTGGGATGTAAGGGAGCTGCGATTATTTACAAAACAACTAAATCACGTGGGGAGTTGGTTTAATTATTTACAAACCTTACATTTATTTTTATATATAATTTTATCATTTAATGTGGTAATTTTATTAAGTTTAATTTTTTAATATTTTGTTGCTGATAAATTAATTTTTGTATTTTTAATAATAAAATAAAATGAAAAGATTAATTCTATGTAGTGAAGTATATAATATGAGTTGTGAATTTAACAAGTTAATTAAGATTAACTTGATTTAATTTTTTTCTTGATTTTTTTTTATTTTTAGATCTATCTTATCAACAAGGTCATATCAGAAAAACTTCTACATGATTTAATTTAAAATTTAACAGAGAAAAAAATAAGATTGAGAGTTTTTAAGTTTGATTTGTTATGCCAAGTTTAATAATGATGCTAAAAAAAATTGTGGTCTAAATATTGTTTTCTTGTGTTTCAAAAAAATTTGGTCTAACTTGTAGAAATAAACTAGTCTTCTCCATTAAAAAAAAAATATGTTATTCTTTATAGAGCTTCATTGTTTATAAAAATATTGACGCTATTTTTTTTTAATTCAATTTTTTTTCATTTTTTATGTTTTTTATTTTTATATTATTTTTTTTTTCTTAATTTTATTCATAGAATTTTTTTAATAATAAATTAAGTTGCCTTTAAACTAACCAAACTGACTGAATTATGTTGAAATAACTTTCACATGGTTTAATAAATTAGGTAAAGACTCGAGTTAAAAGATTTTTTTCTTGTTAATTTTTTTTTAATTTCATCTATTTAAAACTAATAATTGAATCATATTAAAATAATTTTTAAATAATTTAATTTTAAATTTAATTTAGATAAGGAGTTGAATAAAAAAGTTTCAAGATAAATTTACTTCAACCTGTTGAAGGTTGATATTAAATAATAATATCAAATAATTATTATAGATTTAATATATTTTTAATTACCTTTTCCTTTTTTATTTTAACGGATTTAATCGATCCCTACGTGTTTAATAATTTTGACTAACATGTAAGCCCCGCTCCCTTTTCATTTGGCATGATTTTTATTTATGTTTTTTTTTTTTTTAATAGCCTAGGTTATCAGGTATGGTGCTTTGTTAGGCAATACGAATATCACTGTACTTCCTTTCTCTCTCTCTCTCTCTCTTTTCAGCTAACACCAATTTACACTATTAATTAATACAACTGGGATTGAAATTTTGCAGAGTGATTTTGCTAATTACTGCGTTGTGTGTGTGCACTTCAATCATTTAAGAAGGGTCAAGATTCGTCTTCTCGTTTTCTTAATTTCATATAAATAGATGTTGCCGGTTTTACACTTCAAGGTGTGCTCTAATTTATATTTTATTCTTACTCCAAATCTACACTCTACATAGCAAAATAGTGATAAATTAAATACCCACCCTGCAATGGCAAAAAAAAAGAAGAGAGAGCTAGCATTGACGAATTGAGACCACCAAATCAGCTGCAATGTTGCTGAATCGAACCACGCCCAATTGCACAGATAGGTTGAAGTTAGTTTCATTATAAAAAAAGGACGATTTTTTGGGAGGCAAGGCAAGGCAAACAGGCCTCACCATCTTTATGGGCCAGGCACTGACAAGACATAGCCCACTTGATCCAACATGTCTGCCGACAACGTGGACGTATCTTAACGAGCCCAGCCCATTGCATGAAACCCCCTTGTCTATTTAATCTGTCCTGGCCTCTGTAAACGGCCTGCAAAATTAGTTGTAGATCACTTTGCGCCTCTTCCTCTCTAAGCCTAGCAATGGCTGATGCCAAAAACGTCTCAAATGAAACCAAACAAACTCTGGTCTTCGTATACGGCACCCTGAAAAAAGATTTCCCAAACCACTACCTCTTTCAACAACTGATTTCCCAGAAAGAAGCCACATACGTAGGCACCTGCAGAACCCACCAACCACACCCTCTCGTTGTTGGCCCCTATGGGATTCCATACATGCTGTGCCTCCCTGGTAGCGAAGGTCACCAAATCAATGGCGAGCTATACTCCGTGACAACGAAAGGACTCGTTTCATTAGATGAGTTGGAGGGCACGGGTGTTGGCCACTATGAGAGGCGTCCGGTTCAGGTAATCATGCGGGAAAAGAGTGATGCGGAGGAGGGTGAAAAGGGCAGAGTCGTTTTGGTGGATGCTGAGGCATATTTTGCTCATAGGAGTTTTGGGGAGAGGATGTGGGTTAGGTGTGGGAGAGCGGGGTTAGATGAGTATAGTTTGGAAAGAGCTGCCTGTGATTATGTGAAGAAAGTGAATAGGCCTGAAGGGAGGAGTTCTCTTGATGAAATCGAAATGTTCTTGTCCGGTACCGCTCGACCAAAAATAAAATGAATTTGATAGATTCCATTTCTTCTGTGGCTTCAAATCCTGTGTGGGTTCTTTTAATGTAATGAGAAACATCCCATCAAGTTAACCTGTTTGGTTTGTTGCATGTCGCGTGTTTCATTTTTGTGGTGAATGATTAACTTGTAATAAGAATTATATGCATCATCATCCTCATCATATTGATGTTGTTCTTTCGATCTTTTATGGGAGTGCGAGCTAAGAATACAAAATGACAACATATTGATGTTGTTCTTTCGATCTTTCATGGGAGTGCGAGCTAAGAATACAAAATGAATAGTAATAAAAAAACCCTGTCAAGAACAGCTCAGCGAAGGATTTTTTTCTGAATATAAATGAGAGAGAATCAGATTAATTGGTTGGATATAGAAAAAAGGAAGATAAATTGACCAAATTTTATTAATTTTAATAAAAATAAGTTAAAATATCAATAAAAATTCTTTTTATTAATTTTAGAAACTTAAATGGTTTCTGAAAAGAAACATTGAAATTATAAGGGTAAAAATATGATTGGGTTTGTCCCATTTATTTTTTGTTGATTTTTCGAAGTTAACTTGATAGTTATTATTTTTATTCAATAAGTCTTGGTGGATCATGTTAACCCATTTGCAAGGCCTCTTGCCAATAAATTTTTTTTATATAATATGAATGTGTGAGGTATATGATATTAATGAAAATTGTATTTAGGAGCTGTCACATCTCATTGGACATTAAAACTATGTAATGTTAAAATTGGGTTGGGGGGGGGGGTTGATATACATTGATTTTAAATATTTATATAAAAGATTTTAATGTAGGTATTTATAAAAAAAAGAGATTTGTTTTCTAAACAATTTTTAAAATGAGCATTGAATTCGTAAGAAAGATAAGTGAAAATATAATTGGGCTTCGACCCATTTATTTTTAATTGATTTTTTAAAGTTTACTCAATAGTTATTATTTTTATTCAATGGATTTTAGTTGAATCATGTTGACATAACCTGAATTATTATAATCGATACTCAAAATGTTAAAACAATAATAAAAATATTTTTTTATTCCAATCTATTTATTTATTATTTTTTTTTTATTCCAATCTATTTATTTATTATATTTTTTTATGAAGATGTTTATTACTAAAAAAATTGTGGTTCTATATAAAATATGAATCAAGTGCACAAATATTATGCAAGAATCCCATAACTGTCCACAAGATTTTCAATGGAGGAGGCAATTATTGTCAGCCGCGCAACTTTGTTTTCCCTTTTCCTTTACTGATAGAGTTTTTATACCATATTCTTAGCCTTTACCTGCAGCATTATATCCTAGTATCTGAAAATAATGTCTTCAAAACAGCTAAATCGTAATCAAAGCTTATTCTTTCCCAATTTTGTTATGATCTTTGCTAAATCAATCCGAACAGAAAGAAATTTATGACTACTTGAAGGTGTAATTTATAAATAAATAAAAATACAAGTTATTTATCTCGTATTAAAAAAAATATTCTTTTCTAAATATTCATAATTTGTAAGTGTGAATTTATAATAAATTAAGTAAAAATCATGATAAATAGAAAGTGTGAATTTATAATAAATTAAGTAAAAGTCATGATAGATGGATTCTAATGAATTTTCTAATACTATTATATAGATATTTATAATATTAAAAGTTAAAACTCAATAGGTTAATGATATTAATTTTTTATAATTTATTTTTTAATTTTCATAATTTATTTTAATATTTATTAATGTTGAGATAAAATAAATAACGGCTATTCATTTTAATTCAAAATATAATTGTTTCAGTTATAAAATTTTATTAATAATCATAATGTTTCATCATAATATTTCAAATTTATATAAATCTATTACTATATAGAAAAAATATATACAAAAATAAATATATTTTCTTTTATTTTTTAGAGATTTAGAGGATTTAGTTATATTATAAAAATATTGTTGTTCTATGAGACAAAAAACCTTAAAAACAATGTTTTCAGACCTCTAAATCAATTCTTTATTTATTTTCATTCCTAAATTATTATTTTTTGAATTACAAATCCATAATGAACCAAAAGGAAACGTTCTCGACAGTGATCTTCATGTTTCTCTGGTGATTTCTCCTCTAGAACTTGCTACATATTATTAGACATCACAGTGGAGAGGTTAGAAAAGTGGCTGGTGATTCCACGGGAGTGAACTCCGCACTACTAGCCGGTGGCTGCGTTCTGATGATTACAGGCTCCCCGTTTTCATCTATCACAGCCATGCTACAAGGAACTTTCTCTGCAAAGAAGTTCATGTCTCTTCTCCGAACAACTAATTAAATCACTAAAATCTTCGAGGCCCGTAAGTTTTCCTACCACTACCAATTTCAAGGGATACCCTATTAGTTACGACTTCCTTTTGTGGCACAACCTGTATAAATTACATGCGAAATAATTAGCAGCAATATCAATATCAAACGAGTGATGTTGTTACATCAGCCAATTGATACATCCATACCCCATTTGTTTTTTTTGCAAGGTCAATCATATTAATCTTGTTTATATATTACTCTTTTTATTTGATTTTATGTTTTAAAAATATCGATCGAAGGTTGGTGGTGTGGAAACTGACTGTTTTGACAGAAAACGGGGCTGTAGGGTTTGTGGGGTTATTCTAATATCATAAATAATTTAAAAAAAAATAAAAAGTATTATTTTAATATATTTTTAAATAAAACCTAATTTAAAAATAACTAATCGCAAGTATTAGTCATCCATTGGTTGCCTTGCACTTTTGCCACAGCTAATTCTTCGAGTCCCCCGGCCCAAACATCTTGCCTCCTTTTTTATGATACCAAAAAGCAGAGTTAAGCCCCGGGTTATTCACTTTCATCAATTATGTACACAATTTGCAACAGCACAAGATATGCGTACACACACACACACACACACACACACACACACACACACACACACACACACACACACACACAAAAGAAGATTAGATACTGACGAGGAATATGGATCCGTGGCATGGCTCCACGGAGAGTGACCTTAATGCCACCGGATGCTGAAATATTCTCGAGAGCCCACTTAAGCGGCTTTATGGTGAACTCCTTGGGTCCGTCCATGACTAGAACCACCTGAGTGGTGGTGCTGGCAATTTCCGGAAACTGGCTGCTTCGCATAGGCTCTGGCATTCCTTGGTGACTACTTTCTCCTCTTGCGAATGAATCAGCCATGTCAATTAACTAAACTTGGTGGCCTTTCGTCTGCTTTGCCAACATACCAAATGCTCCTGCTCCTTATAGAAAGAAGGAAGGATTGGTATGAAGGTTTTCTGATACTTTTATAATCAATTCAGTTCTTGTCTGTAGTGAAAAATCCAAAATTGAGGCCTTAGAAAAGATGGAAACTAGGATCGGCTTTGTATGCTCTTGACATAAACAAAGAAACTCCGTTTTATATATGTATATATTTACGCATTGACTATTGAGTATTAAAACGGATGCGTATTTTTTCAAATCCCTAGCCTTCTCAGCCCGAAGTACCCTGACTCATCAGTCTATTAAACCTCATCAGAAGCTAAAAGCAGTGACAGCTACATACAAAAACTCATCGAGCGTCGAATTCCATGTCACATTGATGCGTGCCTCAAAGCTCAAATTGCTGCTAACGAAGGCCATTTCTCAATTCGAATGCGAGATTGCAACAGATTCAACTTCATTTCATTTTAACATTACATTTCCCAGACCAAAAAGTATACCCAAACCAAGAGACAGAATGCCTGCTTTAGCAACATCACAAGGGAAACTGAGAAGCAGCTCATAAAGGTAATATGCACTGTGAAGTATAAACTTTGCGTTTTAAGTATATTAGTTCTAAGTTGGCCAAAGACCAAGACAGCCGAATGAGACACCCTCAAATGTTCATCGAATAACTGCCACGCGAATGGGTTTACGGCGAGAACCAGGAGGGCTGGCCCTTTTACATGGAGATGATCTTGGTCTGGTCTTGTCATTCCTAGGAAGCAAGGCAGCCATAAGTTTCATGCCCCTTGCAGTTGGCATTCTCTTGATGCATCTAAGAGCTTCAGCTGTCTGCGAATCCTTTGTGACCTTTTTAGATGATCTTTTACAATTTACATGGTTCTCCACTTTCAGATGTTCTCGTGGAATACAACGTCTGGCTTCTGAAAAGTTCCATTATCTCATTTCAGTTATATTGACTTAGGAAAGAAATATGCAAAGACTTCAATGAAAGACTTTACCTGGCAGTTCTCCAGAATATGTATCTGGAGTGGGTGATCTGGATGGGGCTGAGGGACGAAGATCACCCTTTCTTCCAATTTTCTCAGCACACTGATTGCTGTAATCTTCTTCAACAGGTGGAAAACATAACATCTCATCATGCAAAACTCCATCGTGGCCATCACTTACTCCATGTGGCAGAGAAACATCAACCATGTTGACACAGGAAATCTGAAAGGAAATTCCCTCAGTTTCATGTCTAGATACAATCTCTTCAAACTCTCTCTCACACGGAATGTGAGTTGAAGTTGCCTCAACTGCATCCTTAATTACACTGGTCTCCAAACTATCTTTATCTGCTACACTAATGCATTCATTATTAGCATTATCTAGAACTGACTTGGGTGATGTATTTGAGTTGCTACGATCCAAGCAAAACTCTTGTGGTTTAATCAAACTCGAACACCATGGTGTGCCCTCCCTGGCATAGAACAGAATGTAGGCAGCTTGAGATAGCACAAATTCTTCCCTTTCCTTGCTGACCTGAAAGATATGGCAGTTATTTTGGTTGTCCAATATCATAATTTCAGAATTATTTGGTCATACACCAAACTCAATCAACCCTTAACAGGTGTTACATGCAGAATTACAGAAAAATATTTTCAATTTCTTCCATCAAATACACACATGAACACACCCATGCCCAATACACATGATGCTGGCAGATTTGTTCATAAATTAATGATTTATCCAGCAAACAGTAAGCCTACGGGCTTCATTGGTTTGGCCCCTCCCAAACAATTGACATTAGAGGGGTTAAATGTTGAAATCTAGGACAAGATGGCTTTTGAAAATCCACAATTAGGAATTCTAGGGATAACAATTGGAAGTGACACAGTTCCACATCAGAACAAATCCGTGTTCAGGAGAAAGTAAACCTGACTTAACCAACAGGTGTTAGAAATATAATCCCATGATAAACACAAAATACAACTAATGATAACATTCTCATTCATCATTTATTATTTATAGGTTTAAAAAGATGCAATGGGGCACTGTATAAGGAGATTTAGAGCAAACAACAACAATGAACAACAAAGAGATTGAATCTAGCATTTATTACTTCTGGGTCATCCAACTTATGCCATGTGTCTGGAGAGGATCTTATATAGCAGACGTAATGTCCGGAAGTAAGTGTGTATCCTTTATGCACCACAACCGCATACAGCTGGTACTTGAAGCCCACCTGTTTTCAAGAAAATGAAAGATTTTAATTAAATGCTCGCAAACAATTTAAAGGTGACATGAGTCAATTCTTCAATCATTTATTTCCCGAGCTAACATCACACTTGACCTTTGTGGACATAAAGATCAATTAAATGGACAATAGTCATCGCTTGATTTCATTTTTGAATTTCTATTAGCATGCATATTCCACGCTCTTCATCTTCATTGCCATTGAAATATTTCTGAAGTGATCTATGGATTTTTAAATTCATATTGATACTAGTAATCCATGACTCACATCATTGTAATCATTGTCATTGATGTAGGGCTTCAAGTCCAACTCCAATGGAAACTCCACATGCTTGCCAATCTTCTCAACAGAGGTCCCATCAATCTTGAATCTCTTCAAATGCAGAGCAGCAATTGAAGGAGCCTTGTCCAGCATAAGCTGCTTTTCCCTAGAAACTTCTTCCTTGCAGTTTTCACACATAAACTTTGTCTCTGAATCTTCAATTTTCTCCACATTGGTGAATGACTCCAGTGCCATTTGAAGCGTGTCCGCATCTTCAATCTCCAAACTCAGGTCAATCAGCGGCTCATACTTATCAGAAAAGTGACCACAATTGCAGCATCGCAACTAAACATTGGAAGTAAAAGAAAATGAATGATTCAAATGTTCTTTTAGATCAGCAATATTCTAATTAAAGGAAAATAAATGGGAAAAGTCACTCATTGACTCATACTTTGCTCACAAGACGACCTCCAAATACCCGCTCAACTATGTTCTTATCTTGGGAGGATGAGATGTCATCAGTTAGGCTTGAATCCAAACAGCACCTCTCAAGTCTTTCTAACAAGCATTGGAGGAATTCATGGGCATCTTCCTGCTGATACCGATGAAAAAATGATGAAATACCTAATTATTCATGGGTTAAGAATCACAGTACGCCCAACTTTTCAGGAAAAAAAAACTTTCCTAAAAACATCAAATAGGTACTGCAGAAGAAAACATAGTATCCAAAATACAAGCAATATTATGAAATGTAGAGAAAAATCACAATAGTATAAAAATGTCAATTGGGAGTGGTTGACAGCCCCTTGAAACTTAAAATTCAGCTGCACAGAAATATAAATTAAACTAAACAATAATGCACAATAAATATACTTTTTAAAGTACTTCATAATGCACTTGAGATGATAAATCCACTGCCCATTTTGCACAATAATAAACAGAGTGCAAAGGATACTGTCCAAATTGTTGACAAGTTTCAAAGGCTCGAGGATCTTTCCAGATGAAGCTAAAGAAAGTTCAATGTGATCACGGATAACACAAAGAACACAGAATCCTTCAGTTCTACCTGAAAATTCAAAATGTCCAGCCGTAAATATTAAGTACAACAAACAAATTCAGTTCCTAAGTAGCTACTGCCAATACTCACAGGGCATTGCATGGTTGCAAGAACGAAGAGCCTGAACAAGAGGCACCGTATGCGTAAAGCATTGCAGGACTGCATTAATATAGCACGTGTTTCCTTTATTAAAAAGCCCAGCACCCTGCAAAACCAGCACCAAAAAAAAACCAAGAAAACATTAATATCACAAAGCATAAACATCAACAAACACATACACACCAGACAAATTCAAAATGATATCCTCTGATAGACATACCACACCAGTAGGTCCAGTTTCCTGCATAAAACCAGGAGGCCCGTATTCTTGATTCCTTGTCTTCTCTCTGTCATCCCAACGATTCCTCCATTGAGGAACCTGTGATCCACGAAACCTCTTAATCCAAGGAGGAGACAAATCCGGATGATTTTCTTGGAATTCAGGATCAAAATGACCCCGACGATGATAAATTTGGTGATAATTAGGTTCACAACGAAAAATTTGCCTTGGATCCTCTTTCTCACCATCATCACCAAGACCCCCTTCCTCATGCTCAACATCTCCATGAACAAGCCACGAATTCTCAGGTTCTGCTCGCATAGGTGAATCAGGTTCTCTATTATCAACATCAAAAATAGCATTGTCATTATCACAACGAGCGACCAAGCGCTGGTCAGAATCTAATAGAAACCCATCTTCGTTACCATTAGCTACTAAAGACCCAGACCAGTCCTGATTTGACTGGGAAGAAACCGAGATCTGGCTACCTGAGGTTAAGATATGAGGAAGCAAAGTGCCGATTAGGGTTTCTTCAGAGCGAGGCATTGAAGTTGAAGTTAGTGAAAACCCATTTGAATTTGATGATAGAGGAACCAAACACTGGCCTCCACAGCTTAACTCGGAATTGGGGGAAATCACAGGGTCTCCGAGTAGCCCGTTATTTAGGGCTTCAATCTGTGACTGAGTAGAAAAGCCATGAGCATGAATAAAAGATTTGGAATCTAGGGTTTTGGTTTTAGAAGGCACGTCAAAGTCTGCTTCGGTTGAAACCTCCATGACGAGAGAGAGGGTTTTGAAGTCGAAAACAATTTGGGGGATATTGTTATGGTTGTTGTAAGAGAGGGAGTTGGAGGGAAAAGGAAAAGTTAAATTCAAGGAGGCGGAGTTGGAGGGAAAATGGAAGCGCCCATTTTTTATGGTTTTTGTTTCTGTTTTTTGTTTGTCGGTAACAGACCAAGAGGAAACAAACATTGAAGGCGACCCCTTCGGGTGTGAATGCTATCGTGGCTTCTCGACTCGATTTCAACTTTCTTCTCTTTCACTGTGGAGAGGAGGTTCCTCATGTCCGTACTCTGTCGCGGGTTGGATTTTATTTTTTTTTCAATAAAAAAACTAAACATACAAGATCTTCCAAAATCCTTAAATAAGAGAATTAAGTCAAGATTAAAAAGTTTTATATATGTGTGTGAGAGAGATTAAATAAATTAAAAATATCTATATCAATAAATATAAATAAAAATTATTAACAATAACTAAACAAGTATAATCAGTAACAATGCTAATTTTTTCTCTTTGTTACTAGAACCCACAATTTCTTTCATCTCTAAAACATGATTTTATAAATGTTTATATTAAAATTAAATTTTTAGAATTTAAAGGAATTGTATGGATTGTATTATTTTTAAAATTAAACATGATCTAAATATATTTTTTCTAGAATGTCATGACGAGGGATCTAAATATATTTTTTCTAGAATGTCATCAATTTTTATGTCTTTTTATTATGGTTTTTGTTTTTTAATTTTATCATTGTTCAAGAAAGTACCGCTTGCAAATTGTGTTTCTAAAAAAAATTATTTTTTTTGTTAAAATTTAATATATTTTATATGTTTTTGGATCATTTTGATGTACTGATGTCAAAAATAATTTAAAAAAATAAAAAATATATTATTGACATGCATTTCAATATGAAAAATTATTTGAAAAGCAATCACAATCACATTAATAAATAGATTCAAAGTCAAGACCACAACCACATTAATAAATAGATTCAAAGTCAAGACCAAGTGATTTTCAATTAAGATTAAATTATCAAATTTAAAACTTTATAAGCTAAAATGAATTAATAAAAAACGAACAAGAAGTTTACGTGAAATTAGATTTCTTTTCTAACCCATAATAAAATCTTTTAACTGTAGAATTCAAATCGATGGTATAAAAAAATGATTATAAATTAAATATTTTGATTTACATGTTGGTTAAGTGTTAAATAATTTTTTTTTAACTTAAAAAAATAAAAATGATATATAAAAAAAATCTTAATTCTAAATTTAAGAGTTTATGCACATACTAATTAATTAAATAAAGAATTATATGTGCAACCAAAACAAATCAAGAAATTCTTAATTGTCCAAAATTAACTGATTAATCTCATGATATAGAGGTAACAGACTCAATTGAGTTTAATAAAAAAATTTAATAATTATTTATCTAAATATATAATAAAAAATATATTTATAGGATTAACTAACTAAACTTATGATTTAAATTATATATTCAATAGTTGAATATTTTTTAAATTTTTTATTTAAATGTACAACAAGAAACGTGACAGGAGTTACAATGAAAGTTAATTATTCAAAAACCCCAAGCCTTTTAAATCAAATACTACTATTATTAAGTATTAATATCAAATACCGTTAGAATAAAATATATATATATATATATATATATATATATATAAGGTTTGGGTCGTACAATGGTTGTTTAAAGAAGAGAAAATACTATCTACTCCATCTAACCGGACCACATAAAAGTCATGATGGTTACAACACGAATAAACCTGTTCATTGCCATCCCTAAATAATTGTTGTCAAAATAATCCCTACACTCTTTATGAAATTATCGACGAAACAAAACAAAACAACAAAAGGGTACAGTACCTGGAGCAGACTCGTTTAGCACCATCTATTTTTACATTCCAAAAACGTTTTTTTTTTTAATATTTTTTTTCTTTATTTTAAATGATAACAAATAACCAGCCACCATATTAGCATATATACTAAACGCGTCGGACATTGATTATTGATTCCTTTGCAATTACATTTGGAAGTTTGATAAAATTGTTTTTATTTAAAAATATATTAAAATAATTTTTTTGATATTAATAAATGAAAAAAATAAAAAATTATTAATTTCAAAAAAATAAAAAATTATTTTTTTTTCCAAAAATGTTTTCAGAATACAAAAATAAAGAGTTAGGTAATGTGCAGCTCTGCTCCATGCATTACCCCCCCTTAAACAGAACAAACTGTCCATATTTTCAATCCCTCCGTCTCTTTCTTCAGTACATTGCAAGAAACTATAACATAAAGGATCCCAAAACCTGGACTACAGAATAATAACACAAATCTGTCAAAGACCTGAGAAGTCTTAAATTTTATTTTTCTTCCAAAAGAATTTTATATGGACTCATTTTACATTACACTACACAAATATTGATGGGCAATGTAGCAAACTTGAAAATTCTCAAACACAGAACCCATCAATTTCATCAGAGGATCCTGTCCTGAAGATCAGTCATGAAGGTTGATGCGAAGGAGCTGAGCTTCTTCCCAGTCTCTCCTGCAATATTCTTCAGAGAAGAGATGTCTTGTTGGGCCTGAGAGGGTAAACATGAGAAGAAAACAAGACAGTCAAAGTTAAAAAATAAAAAAAAGGAAGGAAAGAGAAACACCTATGAGTGAAACCAAAAATATCCTATTTAACGGAAGTTTGTTCGAATATTTAAGCACCAAAACATGCAAATCATACCTGGAATGAGATCCGATTGATGAGGTCACTCGCAGCAAGATCAATAGTCTGATCTTCGCTTTTACCATAAAGAACAGCACTTGATATAGCAGAGGAGCCCTGAAATAGTAAACTGACAATCCTTAGCCCCAAATTGAAAAAAAAAAAAAAACAAGGAAAGCCAGGATTTTGTGTTTAGTCGTGGGCCTTTCTTAGAAATTAGTTGGCTGATGTCTATTAGAGTTAAAGCAGCTAGGATGTGCACAACAGGATGCGGAGGTCGCCTAGCTAGATAAGAATGATATATGTCGCATGGAAGACTAACTACTGGTGATTCCACTCCAAATTGCCCATGTGGTTCTCAGTCAAAAAGCACCTTTATATGACTTGCATCATTTTGGCATTTTCCCTGCATGCTAAAAAACTAAGTTTGGAATGAGGAGGGGACGCATCGGAATTCTCACTCACATGTCATTCAAGAACCACAGTTTTTTCTTCCTACATAAGGCTAGACATTAGCAGGGGAAAAAAGAAGGAACCCAGGGCAGAGTAAAGTAACTTCTGGTTGGAACAAGAAAATAATGGATAATTTCAATCCATTGACAACCAGACAGAGCAGACGAGGATGAACTAACAGTAGAAAAAACAGAGAAAAATGAAACACCAAGAATTCTCGAAACCTGTCACTCTATACAAAATAAAATTTATTATATTTAGATAGTAGTAGCAAGAGTGTGTACAGAAAATTTCTGCAATGAAACTTGAGCATCAGCATCAGCTTTGTTCTGATCACCAAAATATTGGGCTGATGAGATTGATTTTGCATTCGAGAACTTTTTTCTTGCTTCATCTGTTTCCTGAATCTGATAATAACAGCACGTAAGGACAAAACAAGTACAGAGCAAAACAAGATAATTCATAGCTAACTAAATCACAAGTCATCGAACAAATTCCAAAAACAAAGGGCAAAATGTCTCCAATGTCACAAGCAATGCCCACAAAATAAGCAAAGTGATTGATGATAATAATATAAATAAATAATGAAAAACACACCATACCAAGAATGATGTTGACTGTGACAAGAACCACTGATATTAAGATCCTTTTTAAATGTCGCTAGAGACACAATGACACAGGAATACTCAAAGCAGAAGTATCACAACTGACAAACAGAGAAACATCACCTATTCCGTGATATGTATCTTCATAGTTCTTAGACATGAACTCTCACACAAAATCAACCATGTTTTGAATCTTCTGATTGAAAAGGGAGGACGTACAGGTAAACTCAGAACAAAATATACACACCGTTGATAATGCGAATACAATTTAACGTGCCTGTTATTCAGTAAGGGATAATCATACTAACAAGAATAACATTTATGTAATAAGGGTAAGCACCACAAGACTTGCACGTGGAGAATTAGGAAACCTATCAGCTCACGAATTTTTTTTTATAATATCAACTCAAAAATCTAACCAAACCTTGTGAAATCAAATGAATGACATTACAATACAAAATAAAATAAACTTGAAGAAACTCCAGTGTATGGTTACAGGTAAAAACACCAAGCTGTCATTCTATTGCTTTTCCCTTAAATATTCCATGAGAACTGACTTCTCTTATTACTTTTACTGGATAAACATAATTACATCTAGGCTCGCATGCTGAAAAATCAAAAACAGATCTCCATTTTTAATAGCATATGAGACAATTTAAACCAGTATGGATAAGTCACTCCAAGCTAAATGTCATTGATGCCTCTTTGTTTTTGCTGAAAATCAGTCGCTCAAAGTGACATGTACAATTTGACAGGCCAACTTGTAAATACATAATGGAAGAACATGGATGCTTCTCATGTTCCTCACAAATTTTACAAACTCAAGATTTGTGCTCCGTACATAAATGTATTTATTTCCCTTTGCAACTCTGCATAGACACATAAATAAAACATGCAAAAATTTGTTTAAGCACTAAATTGTGGTGTGGGAAAAAAAACAATGCTGACTGGAAGCAACTTACCACGAAATTAAACCAGATTTGGGAAGAGAAATAAAACCTAACAGGTAATTAATTAAAAATATAAATTCAGTTGGCAGATGAAACCAAAATTTCAGTATCTTTTTGACATCGAATTAGAAGGCTGTACTATTAAGAAGATAACTCTGTAACAATTAGGTGATTTTGCATTATCTGGCGGACTATTTGCTGGCAGTGTAATTATTACTTGGTTTTCTACATTAACTATAAGCAGATAATACACATTAAAGAGCTTACTTGAACTTTTGAGGAGTTTGAGCTTCCTTTCTTAGCAAAACCACTATCCATCCCGAAATCTGCAAAAAAGCTTGATGACTTTGGTGGAGATACATGGCTAATCACTTGTGGGCCACCAGAAATCAGCTCAGCAGGTTGGACATTATCTACATACTCAAAACGAGATGCAAAAGATGTGCCGGATTTTGTGGTGGTGTTGTTAGTTGTGGAAGGCACAGGAAGTGCTGGTTCCTCAGGCTTCTGGTCATAGAGATTTTCACTAGGCTGCAGTTTAAAGGACTATTAGGAAAAAGAAGGCTTGGTAACAAGTGTCAAACTGACATATGCTTCTATGATAACTGATGATAATTCTAAAAGCAAAGAGGCGAAGGCCTACCTTTACAGTAAGCTTTCTAGCACCAAGTCCCCCTGTTTTCCCAGTTCTCTTTGCACCAAGAGGCTTCTTCACAGAACTAGTAATAACTGTGTGAGAAGCTTTTGGGGAACGAACTATATCAGGTGTTTCTTGTTTTCCTACTGAGCTTTCTTTAGGAGTGTCATTAATCTTGACATCAGGAAGTCCATTTGCTGCTTGGGCTGCCTGAGAAGCAACAGGTGATGATGGCAAGCCAGCATCTTCAGCCATGCTTTTAGCAACTTCTTTTGAAAGTAATTGCCTATATAACTCCGCAGCTCTAGATGTATACTTGGCCTCAGTTTTCCCCCCATCAGTCCATCCGTGCTGCTTAAAGAAAATCTGAGCACGATTATTTCCCCCAAAGCTCATTGTTCTCAGTTGCTCTGGACTCCATGAATCTAAATTCGTAGACCTAAATGAATACGGAAATAACATTGCATCACAGTCATTCCTGAAAAGAAACGCTAGAAGAAAGGAGGATAAAGGGAATAGAGATGCCCCCCGGAACAACACTAAGGTGAAAAGCCTCTAATTCTAAAAACAAACACATCCATGGAATGCTCTGCGTCACCGATAATTCTACACAGAAAATTGTAAGGGAAACTCAAGTAGTTTTCCAGCTTGTATGAATTACCGGTAGATGCATCCACCAGAAAATAACAAGAAATTCATGTGGGGAGAGACACAGGATGTTATGCACGGATGTGGAAAATCTCTACCATCAAGTAACCACCTTTTCCATCTCGCTATACGCCTGGCATGCTTTCCTAACATAAGAAGAACGTGGAAGTATTGAAATACATGCTCGCCTGCTACAGGCCCTATTGGTTGCATAGAACGAGAGCAAAGATCTCACCAGAACTTGGTTAAGATTCAGAACTCAATCCTCCAGTCTAATAAACACGTACAGTACAAAGTTTGACGAGATGTGGGATGGTTTTAGAGAGGAAGCATTCCTCTGATATATTATGATACTTAGATTGCTCTCTGCTTAGTTTCCAAAGCATTGATGACACATCATCTCTCCGCAAAAAAAAATTGATTAATCTCCAGATCTAAGTCCTACCATTCTCATCATCCCACATTATCCGATCCAGAAATAAAATACAAAATATCAGATCATTAAACAGAAAAAAATAAATATATACCTAACAAAGCTGATGTGTACACCAAGACTACGGTGAAAAGCAGAGCAATCGATGCAAAGGAAGATCCCGTACGTTACAGAAGCCCAAGTAGGATTTTTGGCATTACAGTCAAAACACATCTAACAACAAACACACCAAATCATAAATTCCAGATCCAAATATATAATACAATTTCCAGATCCACAGAAAATATACAAACCTTGTTCTCCGATTTCGCTTTCAGTTTTCTGAACACCACGTTCTTGTCGGTGAAATTTTCCGACGCCATGGTTGTACTTTATAGTTTGTTAATTTAGAGAGAGACAAGCACGCGAAGAGTGATTCCGAAGAGGAGACGTGAATTGCTGCAACACCACCACCACCTCCTCCTCCGCCGCGAGAAAACAGAACGCAAACAAAGGAAGACAGAGGGCGAGAGATAAATATGAAGCTAAACAAAAGTGCAATATTTGAGCGTGCTCGTTTATTTGCTTTGCTTTGCTTTTAATAATAATAATTAAAAATAAACAGAGTAATATGTATTTCCGACAATGCCCCTGTATTTATTTGCTTGGTGAGGGAGCGTGATTCGGTGATCTGTTGATGTCTGCGAGCGGCTCTACTTTTTAAATATATTTATTATTGACACAACAAATAAATAACGCGTACCCATGAGCCAAGGTCACGAGTTCAAGCTACACCGTGAACAATATCAATTTTTATGTGATAAATAATTTATTGTCTGTATATATTTTTTTTTTTTAAAAAAAGAGCCATCTGCTTCTTATAAAAAAATATTAACTTGAACACATGGGCCTGGGCTTTGATCAAGGATGCTTCCCATTAATAATGATGAATTGGGCTGCAACAAGAGCTGGTAAAAACGCATCATAGCACTGCCATCAATTCTGCTTTCGCCACCATCATTCTAGATGTGTTGCTTATTTTTAAGCAAATATCAAAATATAAAAGAAAAAACAAACCGTGACAGGGGCAAAGTTTTTACACATGGTTATAAAATTCAGCAAAGCTAATGGCTCAATTCAGTACCTGAGTCCTGGGTTAGATGAGACGTTTAGGCCACTTAGGGTCAATGGTAATCTATATTGTTTTAGAATATTTTTTTATTGGTCATTTGAGTGCCTTTCATTTTATTTTTTAATGTTAAGCTTTTATTAAATTTTATCTTTCCATTATTTAGTTGATTGTAAATCTATTTTTATGTTTTTTATCATATAATAAAATAAAATAAAATTATTTTTATGTTTTTTATCACATAATAAAATAAAATAAAAATTAATTCATCTCAATAAAATTCATAACTTGAAAGATAGATTTGAGAGTTGATTTAATTTAATTTATTGTTTTATTCTTTATCTTTAAATCATTACACTAAATTTAATAACAATACTAAAATATTTTATTATGACCTGCCATGAAAGTTTTTGATAGGAACATCTTAAAAAAAATATTGCAAAGATGAGTGGCATTTTCACAGTTTTTTTTAAAAAAACCCCTCCTCCTCCTTGATAGAAAACCGCCAGCTATGAAATGAAATGAAGCTTGGAGACTTTATTTTTTATCCTTCACTCTCTCTAAATTCTCTCCACTTATGTAGTATAGGATTGTGATTAAGTGTTTTCTATAATCAATCTAGTGAATCAGAGAGAGAGAGAGAGAGAGAGTTGAGGGATTGGGAAAAATAGAGAGAGAAAGTGACGAATTAACTGGAGGAAGAGAATTCAGGGGCAAATTGCGTGGGAACTTTCCAGTCTGGGTTCATGCATTATTGTGTAGAATTGTAGTGTTATTTGAAGCTGTGAAAGGCTAACTGGTGATAATAAAAATGAAATTGTAACCATATCGGTGGTGGCCAAGTGGTAAGGATTTGGGATCAAGGGGTTTGCTCCCTCTGTAGTTTCAGGTTTGAGTTCTTCGTTGCTCATATGATGGCCATTGGAGACTTACATGGTCGTTAACTTTAGGGCCCGTGGGATTAGTCGTGGTGCACGCAAGCTGGCCCGGACACCCACGTTAATCAAAACAAAAAAAAAAATAATATTTAGTATTTTCACTTATAAAATCTAATTAGGGCTGTTCGTGTATATCTAAATAATATTGTAAAGTGAAATTAACAAACTATAAGGTAGGAGCAGCAATATCTTTTTTTTTTGTAATACGATCCTTTCTAGAAAAAAGAAAAACAAGGAAGTTTTCTTTTTCCGATCACGTGGGAGCTTTTCATTACTGGGCATGACATTTACGAGGATCCAAGCTCTAAATAGAACTCATAAGTTCCTAGTTAAATAATTTATCTGCGAATCCATGGAAGAATGGGCCAGAAATATTGTTTTTATGGCCTGGGCTATTGCTTTCCTAATCCTAAAAGGGCCACAATGTCAAAGGCTTTCCCTAGCCTCTCTGGGCCTTTTCTAACTTCTGAAATTCTATCTTTATTTATCTCTAAGTTGTTTGATAGTTTAAAACATAAATTTAAATCACCCTTTAATATTTAATAGTTTGGACAAAAATTCTTAGAAAAACTTTGCATCAAGTTATTTGTAATTACAGTAAAAAATAGATTGAAATAATGTTTTTCATATATATATATATATATACATATACATATATATATATATATATATATATATATATCAATTATAAGAAAGTTATATGTATTTTTTTTAGAAATAAAATAAAAAAACGTTTCATTTTTATAACAATGCATGTGGGTAGTTGCTCTGCACGTATTTTTAAAATCAACTTGATCATGTTATAAAAATAAAAATTATTAGACATTAAAATATAAGTAGAATATGGTGGGAACTACCTGGATTATTACAAAAAAAGTAATTAGTAAAACACCATAACCTAATGCATATTTTATTGTTCAACAGGAACGGTAAAATGATATTCTTGTCCTTCTAAAAAAATAACAAAGCTTGCAATTAGGGTAAAATTATATTTTTAATAGGATACATTGGACATTACCAAGTTAATTATATATACATAGAAAAAATAAAAAAGGTGAAGTCATGATGATAAAACAGATGCAAGCTCTGAAGAGGAAAACTCACCTTCCATGCATAATTAATGATTATGCGATGCGAGTAATTTTCATCATCGTTCATCAAAACATGTGCTGAATAAGAGAAGCCGTTTTCGTGATCATAAATGGAGGAGATGCACTTAATCTATTAATTGCTCTCTTGCCTAACCTATCTTGGAGTGTCTATGCCGTCGTCGATCCATCATAATAATATTTATTTAAAAAAAAATAATATTATTACATCAAAATAATTTAAAATATATATTATTTTTTTATAAAATAATTTTTTATAAAACTAGAGCAACTCTAAATATAGCATAAAATACATGCCACTCTATTATTCACTTATCTTATGATGGAAAGTCAGATTTTTATTTTTTTATTTTTTTATTAATATAATGAAAAGTCAGATTTTTATTTTTTTATTAATATAAATATTAGTGTATATTTTAACTAATTTTATATATTTTAAAATTAATAATTATATAAATTTGTAATGATTTTAAAAGATTTAAACTTGTAATTATTAAAAAATAAATTTAAAATCTGAGTTATTTTTTAATTACTATTTTTTTATTTGTTTTTTTTTAAATTTTTTTTAATTATTATTATTTTTTATTTGTTTTTTTAATTATTATTATTATTATTATTATTTATTGTTGCCTTTTCTTATTGCACTTCAATCAGAAAGCTACTGTTAGAGTAACTATACGTCCTCTGAGCAATAAAACTAACCTACTTTTGGGCAGCGAAGTAGGACCCCTATGATTATTAGCAGGTTAAATGCATCTCATGTACCCAAGATGTGACTGCGTCACGACATAAAGAGAAATTTTTTTTATTAATATAAATGTTGGAGTGAATGTAAATTTTAATTAATTTCATAAATTTTAATTTTAATAATTATTTAAATTTTTAGTGTTCCTACTTTAAATTTATTATTATTAAAGAGTAAACATAAAATCTAACTATATTCCTCAGATTTACAAAAGTTAATTTTTTTGTATGCCTCTTGTGTAATTTTATCATGACAATATATCATATTATTACAAAATAGGATCAATTAATACAAAATATAACAATTTTCACATAAATTTATTTATATATCTTATATTTATCAATAAACTTTTTCTTTTTGACAATAAATGATACACTGTATACACATTTAAATTGCAGTGGAAAGTTTCAAAAATCATCGTGAGTGGCCATGGTGCCTCCGCCCTGTACATAGACAATCTCTGTATTTCGAATGAGAAAACCTCAACAGTCCAAAGATGCGCCTATTCCAAATTTTCAGGCGCGGTTTTGGCTTCGGGCCGGGCAGGAATTCTTGCCGGCCATGCTATTTCTATCGGATTCTGTCTTGGGAAGCTCTACCATTGCTGCCCGCCATGAATCACCAAGATATCTTGATCACATATTCTATGAAGCTACAAAAGCAAAAACCATTTATCCAAGGGAGGGGAAGAAGAGACTCAACCCCGTAATTAACCTCTTAAAAAGGTTAGATTAACGTTTTCCACGGACACACCTACAAAACACCTGGAATTTCTACTGTACATGAAAGCACTGTAAATTGAGAGATAATTCACTATAAACTGTACATGCGTGGATTGTAAATCAAGAAACAATTAATTGTTGACTTCCACAATTGCTTTGATATTAACAAAACTCTAAAACACTGGAATTTTTATCGTACATGAAAGCATTATGAACGACAGACCATGTAAGAAAAAAATAAAAAAAAATGTAATAATAATAATAATTATTATTATTATTATAAAAAATTTATTACTGTGAAAACTTTGGTAAGGTAAGTATGATATTATTATTAATATGATAAATATTAATATTTGTATTTTAAATATTATTATCTTTGTTGTAATTAAAATTATTAATATTAAGATAGCAAAAAATAAAAAATAAAATAACAATTATCATTATTATTGTTGTTAAAAAAAATTTAAAAAAATATTATTTTATAAACTTTGGTAAGACAAGTTTGGTATTATTATTTATATTCTAAATATTGTAATATTTATTGTTATTAAAAATATTAATATTAAAAATATTATTATTGTGATATAAATATTATGATTTTGATTACAATTCATATTATTAATATTAAAAATAATATTATTTATGTTATAAATATTATTATTTTATTATAATTAAAAATATTCATATAAAAAATAGTATTATTCGTGTTATAAAAATTATTATTTTTCATATAATTAATAATATTAATATTAAAAGTAATATTATTTATATTATAAATACTACAGAGCCCTCGGGGGCATTTATTTGGTATGTTTTTTTGGCATGAATGACAACTGAGAGCATTATCTATTCTATCAAAAGTTATCAAAAGTTATTATGGCTGGTTTGGTAATTGGACCAAACTTTATTAGGTTTGACAGTCAAGCTAGACCCA